CTGAACACGTATTTAAACGGTTCTTCTTCCTCCATGTTGGCCTCGTTCCTGTAACCAAAATAAGCCTGAAAAATCCTGGAATAATATGCCCTGGGGTGCTCATTCTTACCTTGCACGACCTTGTCGGCGGCTGGATACCCGCCAGGACCCGTGAAAGGTGAATAATCTTTCATAAGAGCAGTACATAACAGGCGGTAATCCTTTCTTGTGGCATCAGGTTGACGCTCTATGAAGGAAAACACCGTCCTGGATGAAGTGAGCCTGATCAAACCTACTCTATCCTCAACTGTAGCGTTGGGATAGCTTCTTAATTGGAAGTCAAGGTTGTCCAGATAGGCCTTAGTGTCAGTTGAACCCAATGGCCCTGGCTCAAATCGATTGACATATTTTGCAATTTTGTGCAAATCCTAAACGGGAGCAACGGCTGTTTTATTGATATCGTAGGAATCAAAACTGTACGTGGAGGTGTGTCGCTAGACTCATGTGGAGGTGATGGAATGGGATTAAGAGCAGGAAGTGCAGCAAAATCCTTCTGAGGTGGTGGTGGGTGACCTAGACTCTGACCTTGTACGGCTTTGAGCTCCAGACAACCTCGCCCCATGTCAGAAATTTTATTTGTTGCAGTGGCTAGTTTCGCCTCACAGGCTTTTAAGAGTTCCTGTGATGTATGACATTCACTTTGTAAACGCAAGCCTTGTTCGACCAACGCCGCTTTTTCCAATCTGCACTCCTTCAGAGCTTTTGATGTGAGCTGCAACTGTTGTTGCAGAACATCGTTGTCTGAACGCAGTGTTTGGCACTTAATCTCCCTTTCCTTCATCTTCTCCTCATATGAGTGAGCTTGTAATGACAGCTGAGCTTGTGAGAGCTCTCTGTCACATTGTAACTCATTCGCACGAGTCTCCTGATCAAATTTATACTGTGCCATGAGTTTGAGGTACTCCTCTCTTTCGCTGTTTAACCTTAATTCAAGGTCATCAGCCTTGTTTACCACAGCATAGAATGTTGCCTTCAATAAGAGCGCCAATTTAGCCAGCTGGTCATAGCTTGACTTTGTTCTGGCTGTAGAGGTCACACCCTCTGCAACATCCTTCAGCTCATCCAATAACTCTTTGGAGTTCATGCTGTCCACCTGTGCACCATATGGATCTAAGGATTCTGTCAGCAGCGCCAATGCCTTCTCTAACCAATCCATCACACAAGGATCAATATTATTTTCTGTCACATCTGCCATGGTTATTCACTGTTCAGCATTTATCTGGTTAACCAGTTGCCAACTTCAGATATTTTAACAGGTAAATATTTGTATTCAAGTGAGCCGTGAGTTTCACACACTATTTTAGCTCTGGATTCACTCAATAGTACTGTCATAAGTCTACTTCTGCAAATGAATGGGCACTTAATTGTAAGATTCACCCCAATGCATGAATATTTTAAGTAAATGCCTCCTTCTGGCAGTGTTACTTAATGTGCTTATTTTTCAACAGATACAAGAACCAGGCTTCTCAGTGTACATTTACTCAAAAGCACTTAAAATTAAATAAACCTACAATTTTTCTAAAAGTCTCAAAGCAACTTTAGTTCTCAAACGCTTTTTAAGCAGTTCTATATACCAGAAATTCGCTATTTAAAACAGTCACTCATAAACCAGGCTGGATGAACAAAAAAGAAAAGAAAAAAAAACGAGAGGAATTATCAGTCTCCCCTTTAGGAAAACTGTTATACTCCTCTTTCAACAGCAGGTGGTGGTGTAAGCTTATTTATACCAGCAGGAGTCTATGACAACTTCCTGTGGATAGTTCTGTTGACATCCGGTGTTAGCCGTTAGCCAGATGTAGCATACGGTCGAACACAGTCAAATCAGCATTTTCTGAACGGATTTAAAGCTTAAACGTGGTGTCGTTTCAACAAGCACGACTTTTTGCATGAAACATGAGTTTTGGGAACAGTGGCAGGCTGCATTAAGCGATTTTAAACACAGAGGAGGCTTCGGTTGAACCGAGATTAATTTCTGGGATCATGTGACTTCATAGCCACGTGAGCAACGGGGTGGGTTTTACAATCTGACATCAGAGGGAGTGAACGCAGATACGTCACCCGTTTCTCAGCGAATCAGAGCGACCCAAACAGCGGTTTTCAACCAATCACAGCGCGTGATTCCAGCTAGCAGTGTTAGCAGTTAGCCTGAAAAAGTCTGGTCACTATCGTCCATTGAACCGTCAAAATGCACAATTTACTGCTACAAATGTAACGAAGCTCTTTAACAGTGGTCTGAGACGGCGCTCAGCTGCAAAACAACGTTTTATCCATTCAAAACACGACTTGTTCAACGAGTCCAGTAACAGAACCGGGTCAGACAGAACCCCCTTCTCTGCTACAGTTTAAACAGAATAAAGCGTTTTACCACAGCATGCCAGCTTTAGTTACACAACAGATGTACAAATTTTAGCTTTAAAATGAACACATTGACATTACTTTCAGCTCTCTGAACACCACAAGCAGAATCATGCTGTATCAAGCTCAAAACGCAGACCTTTTATGCCAACACTCAGCGTACATCTCAATGACACCGACTCCGTCACATTTAATTCACACCTCTTTAAACATTCGTACGGCCACAAAATGTCCAAACAGGGGGATAGGTCCTAAATTATGTCTTTTAGAGACCATGCGCATCATGAGAAGCTCTTTAGGGACCCGTCCGGGCCACCAGATATGTAGTGATGTACGGCTAGGTTAGCTTCAGTTAGCTTAAGAGCTCCACTACAATCAATATTTAATAACGGGTTCTCACTTTTTTGAGCTACTAGACAGATATGTGACAGAGTTACTGTGTTGTCGATGGTCTAATCAGTGACATGAGACGTTAATTTTCTTTGACCCATCAAAATGAATGTGGTCATTTATTAACAGAATCAAAATTTAACATCAAACATTGTACACTTGATTATGCTATCGGCTCTGATTAATAAAACTTGGCACGTTTTATTTAATAAAAACAACGGACATTTCTGAAGATGGATTAATTACTGGCAAGATAGAAGTTTGAAGATGGGAAATGAAGGAGTTTAAATGGAGAGAAAAGATGGATGAGGATGTATGTCTGTAAACCAGAACAACACGCTCCTTTCAAGCGCATTTCGCCCGCGGTACACTGGTAGTGAAGCTCGTGACGACTCTTTACCTTGGCAGAGGATGAATCAGCTGCGGTCAAGAGGTCCCTGGCACGCTACCTTTTAGCGTCTCCTCAGGGCGGCTGCGACTCGGCAGAAGTCGTGAGATAATCCGTTCCATAGAACAAACCTCCTCAGAAGTTATAGGGCATTTGCCGGGTGGACTCACACGAGCTGTGAGTCCGTCAGAGGTTCCACTCAGATGTGGAAGGCTCCATAATCCCGACTAGACTCAGAAGAACTCCCAACTAACTCCAGCACTTCAGAACTTTCTCCAGGCACTAGCACTTCAGCACTAGAACTTTCCCTCCGAACTATTGGAACTAGGAAGTGTCGACTTTTAAAGAGTTCTGCTTCCGGTCACTTTTGGGAAGTCCTGATTGGTTGAAAGAACCAACAGGGGTGTGGTTTTAGTGACGTCAGAGCAGAGATGTTTAGGAACAGACAGAGAAATGTTTTGGAGAAATGACAGACTTACAGGTGCCAGTTTTCTTGTTTCTGTCTGAGAGGTTTAAAAACACGACAGTTCGTTCCAATAAAATTGTTTGCGACTGTCTCCGACTTTTGACCGACATTACACCTTTCTCATTTCAGACAGAAGATCAAAAATGCATAATTACTTTGTAAAATAGACATTTAACTTGATTTCTACTTTGAATGAGGATTAAAAATCATTAATACTGTTTCACAGTTGATTTAAAATGAGTGGCTCATTTCAACATTTAAAAATGGTATGAACTAAACACACTTTTGATTATCAAGATATTGTAAAATAGTAATGATAATATGAAAAAGAGAGTGTT